GGATTGTATTTTAATATTGTATGAGTTTTAACTGCTGTGAGCCACCCCAATTGTCTGACACAGGGGCAGGGTATAAATAAAATTTATTATACTATTTATTTATTTATTTATTTATTTATTTATTTATTTATTATTAACCTCTGTTCAAAAACCTCCACCAAAATCTCCGAGGGAGTGTCTTCCACTGTCGAACAGTTCGTTTCTCTCTCTCAGAGAGCTCTGGGATGGAGCTGTAGCAGTTAAACCAGTGCCAAACTGCATTAATTCTGCAGTGTGGATGCAGCACAGTTTAAAGGGGATACACACTTTTCTAAGCTGTTGTCGTTGTTGTGAACCCTGGTCCTCAGAGTCATAGTGAAATACTCAATCCATGCTGGCTCTCTGTTCTAGGTCAGCCCAGGAGAAGCCATGCTAGTTTTCCCTTCAGTGCTGAAGGGAATCAGTTCCAGGGCCTTAATGGTACTGGTCCCCTGCCCTCCCAAAGAGCTGCATGCGGGGTGACCATGAGACCAAGTGTGGGTTCACCGTCCCTGGACCCACAGATCCACCAGCCACCTCTGGTCCCACTGCATTGTGTCCTTCGGCTGGGCTACAACTGGCCTTGAGGCTATGCTGGTTCTGGACCCTTGCGATGCATAAGATGCCATTTGGATCAGCCTAGTGGTTCTTTCCTATGTCCAGAAACAACAGCAGCAGCAGCCGCTGGTTGTAGCCTTTGCTTGGCCTCCTCTGCAAACTTTGGCCTCTGCTCCAGCTCACTCGGAGACATCCTGCGGTCAACATTCGTTTTCCCTTTGCTTGTGCAAATGAAGAGAGGAGCCAGGGATGCACATCACCTGCTGCTTTTCGCCCATCCATCTCTCACCTGACAAGTCTTCTTTGCCTCTACAAATAAAGAAGTGACAAGAGCCCTCCCCATCCCATTTCCCTCCATTGCCGCCTCCACCTTTCCATCATCGCTGGCATGATGGCCATCCTTGGAGCTGTCTATCAGGGCCTCTGACAGTCCCCCAGAGAGCCCCCGACCCATGGAAACACTGGGGG